TAGTCGTATCCTCCTCCTCCTCCTCCTCCTCATCTTCCTCCTTTTAGTAGGCTCTCTCTTCGTGGGAACTCATTAATACGAGGACATAATCGTGCAAACATACCGCGATCGATTCGCCGATCGTATACTGATTTCTAAGAGATACCTCGAAATGGCTATCGATTCCAGAATTTAGATTCACTCGATTTGCCAAAGCTTCGAGAAAGACTGACTCGATTATCTATGTGTCTTATTACATATATACATATATATATGTATTATGTATGTATATAGACATTCCTATTTGTATTCTATTTAGATAAATTCTATCTATCTTTGTATATGGTATGTTTAACCCATGAATATATATTTCTTGTTTATCCAAGTTTAAAACAGTTTATTCTATTTATATGTATCAATCGTTGCGAAAGAAACGAATACGAGTAAACTTTATATTTAATTTAATTTATAGTTGATTTAATATTGTTTTTTATTTATTTATTTTTTTTTTTTTTTTGTAATTATTGCCAACCAAATATTAATTAATTTATTAAACTTTATGATGGATTTAGAGATAATAATAAATTTTTGTTAGATAAAAGAAATGTTCTTTATAAATCATTGCGATTAAATGAATATAATTATAAACGTGCGTTAATTGAATCGTCAAATTTTGAAATGAATTTTCTAGGTAATTATAAATCAATCTTTCATGCGTTTCAATAGAAAATTTGTTGATTATTTAGCTCGAAGGGGAATATTACGCGTGTGTGTATTTATGCGTTATATAAATTTCTCATTTTAAAATGAACGAATTGATTGGTAGAGTTGAGTTACCTCTTTTTGTCTATGCTTCTCAGCTATGAACGTGGACTGCTGATTGAAACGTCGATCGCGGAAGTTGTATTGCACGTCCGTTCTGCCTCCCTCTCGTGTTGCGCGCCATCGAAATAATAAAATGTCGGCGAACGACTTCTGCACCCGCTGGAACTTTACGGTCAGCCTTATCGTGTTTACGGCACTACTCCTCGTAAACCCACAACTCCTTCGACCCTCCTACAGTTTTATTTTTCGAATAGAACCAAACGCATACACACACACACACACACACACACACACACACACACACACACGTAACCAACGCAACCATGAACGTTCTTCTCAAGTTCGTTCTTTCGTTCAATCACCATTTCTTTTTTATTGTTTTTTTGTTTAAATTAAACACATTTCGACATTTTTCTTATGTAGAAACATTATTATTACTGATATTAGAATAATATATGTGTATATGTATATAAACATATATGGATAGGGGTTGATAATTTTTGAGCCGAACATAGAAACAATGTTTCTCGGTCATTTTTTTTTTTTTATTTAAAAAGAAAATGAGCGTTCTTTTTGAAGTGAAAACTTCTTTAGAATAGGGAGTGATCTGAAAAAAAATGAAACACGGTCGGTCAGGAAACGGAGCTATGAAATGGCTGCTATACTAAATAATGAGAGAAAAAGAGACAAACATATAGGATTGAGCCTTCTAATCAATATATATCTCTCTTTATCCTTTTTACTCATTCTAGACAAGCATAATTTTAATAGATCACTTTTGTAACATTATTTTTTATTTTCTATTCAGATGATTCGCAATTGAATATTGTGAATTGTGATCCAAGTGTCTCTCGGCCGAAAATTAACGCCGAATAATGTCGTGAAAATTTGCAGAAAGAAAATATTAGGGAAGTTTCAAAGAGTTTGACGGAACGTGTTTGTGCATTTCTTGCATGCAGAGAGGTGTTTAGTTATCATACATTTTTTAGTTACCAGAAGCAACTTGTCTTATTTCTTCGAATTGAGAACTTGCCTACTGTGTAATATATTATGTATTATATGTTAATAAAACGTAAAATAATTTTTGAAAATGGTAACAATATTATAATAATAATATTATAAAAAAATAACCCTACAATTATCCTACACCTGACATTCTGCATTCGTCTCATTCTCTCGAAACTTAGTTTTTCGAAGGTTTCACTTCTAACGCGTGTGATGTATCCACATGATATTTTTTTTTGTTAAGGCTCAAAATTTATCCTCAAAACATCCCAATATGATAATAATAATTCGTATATGTATATATATAAATAATATTAGGACGAATAATATTACATCAAAATGTGTATTTATTTTCACAGATGGTGCGCTCTTTCCTCGTCAAGGACGAGCAATGTGGTGAGTTGTTTTAGTTTATTTTTCTTAAATACATATTTTTTCATTTGAAATTATGCAAAAAGAGAAAAAAAATAGAATAGATTCTGTATTTTTTGTAATCAAAACGAACGAGAAGAAAGGAAGAAAGAAAGATAAGGGCAATACAAAAGTTGTTATCGTTAATTCTTTTTTTTTTTTGGTCAGATATACGATAAAATTATTTTTGATTCAATCAGAAAAAAAAAAAAATAGAAAAAAGAGACAGATAGAGATAGAAACAGACACGAATTATCACGTAATAATAAAATCCTGCACGTATCCTCGCATTAGAAGCGATAAGAAAACGAGTACGAGGTTTTCCACGCTTCTTCTAGCTTTCACGTAATCCTTGTTATGCTTATCGCTATCGTCACGATAACGCAGCATCATGCCAAGCAAGTATACGTTATTTAGACTGACAGATCGTACAACTTGTATTCGTCATTTAAATGAGATTAGATTATTTATACATTTATATAGATATGTATATATAAGTTTTGTAAAAGTTTCTACATAAATTTAAAAAGTCAAATAATTTTGTTTTGTAATTATTTAAGGCTCGTATTATCTTTAGATTGAAATACTACCAGTTTAATTTATAAAATTAAAAGTTCAATTGCAAAGATAAAAAGAATAATTAATTTTTGAATCAAGACTTAACTTTTAGCTTATCTAAACATTTTTCAGTCCACCTTGTATGCAAATAATGCATCTAATGTAATTACGTTAGATGGATTTTTTCTTGATATTAAACAAAAAAAAAATATATTATAATAAAATATTAAAATAACGAATATATCGATATTTTGTATTTTATTTGATATTATTTTGTTTCGTTTAGTAAGCAAGATAAATATGTGAAAAAATATATATGATGAAAGCGTTCATCAATGTAGACACGAAATGTGCCATCTTAGTTGTAACGAGGTCATCGCGCATGCGATGATACATCAATGATGATGTCGAGATGTTATACTCGTGTTCTCTTTATTTGCCTTCGTTACTTTTAGGAGATATTATATAGACTCTATCGAAGATCATTTGTCTTCATCGTCACTGTCATTTCTTTTCATTTCGTTCCATTATCGAGTGAAACGAGAACCTCTGTCATTCCGTTCTATTTAATGATATCGACGTGTCCACATAACATGCATATGATGAATCTTATCGTCTCTTGCAATGAAGATACTAACATTCAGTACATTGAACCTGTGTGTGCAATTTCTTCGATAATTATCCAGAATACTATATTCACTTATGTTTAATTATTTTCTTAAAACGACAGAAAATGTTCTACTTTTACATTTTGTCGAATTATTGTCTATATTCAGTCAAATTTCATTAACATATATAATGGTAATCTGATTGATTGCTCGTCAAATAAATTTTTAATTTTAGAGAAAAATTAAATTTGAATAAAGTATGCTTCTTCTTAATTTTGTTCACACATAACTATTGATAATTTTTATGAAGTAAAGAAAAAAGAAAATGTAGTTAATAACTTTTGACCGAACATAGATGAAATATTGTAATGTTCATAGATTATCTTTGAAAGATTTAGTAAGATTTAAACGAATTGAATCTATATTACAATTAGATTCATATCAATGTTAGATCTTTAAATACGCGTATCTACAATAGTTTATAGATTTGATAGATTGATTTCTCCTTGATCTAATAATATTCAAATATTATCTTCGAAAATTTTGCAAGATTCAACGTATCGAATTATTCTTATTGTTACCCTAGTGGCACAAAATATTGAAAAATATTGAATACGTGTGTATTTAATATTAAAAAAAACATTGAATATCTCTTTTTAATATTAAATACACATGTATTCAATATTTTTCAATATTTTGTGCTACTAGGGTAGTTTCATATATCAATGATGGATATTTGAAATAAAATTAATTTTTCTTACGATTAAAACCTAATCAAAGAATATATTATATTTGTGTTAAATATTTGACAATATAGAATAAAATGAGTTTTTATTTATCGTAAGAAAAAAGAAAAAAAGAAGAACAACCAAAAATTATCGCAAATGATATCATATCAGAAAGCACGAATGAAATCGACAGGAGGACCGATTTCTAAAATGAAAGAGAGAGCAAGGTCGAGGAAAGGCGTGCTGTGCTCTCCTTGTGAGTTTGTCCTAGATCCTGGAAAGAAGCAGGTCACGTGGTGTCTTTCTCATTCTATTTTTTTCTCTCTCTCTGTCTCTCTGTTTCTCGTATACGTGAACGTTTCGGTCAGTTGGCAGGACGACATTGCTTTGCAAGGACGACTGCACGTCGTCAGTGTTCGGCCTAAATCGCAAAACACGCTAGTCATACTATGCGCGACACGTTAATTTCCGCAAATAGAAACACTCTTCAAGTGTTCTCATTCGTAGTTTCATGTTCTATCCTCTATTTCATTTTAAGATATATTATTTCGAAAATATTCAAATTATTATTTGTCCCCTTGATTATCAAACTAATTTGTTATCGATCCAATGACGATACAGCCATTTTTAATATTCTCATTAAACGAATTACGCATAAATTAATATTTATAAAATCTATCTCATTCTTCTTTAATAACATTGATTTTATATTTTTGATTTTTTGATTAACACGTGAACAAATCTTTCATTTATTGAAATAAATTTTTAATACGGATTTAATCGTCTTCGTAATATTTCCTCATACACCGAAGTCATATGCAATCGTTCGGTGGATCACTTTTGAACTCGTCCACAAGTAGAACTAGCAAATCTATATATAAGACAAGAGGAACTTTGGCCTCTCGCTGAGCTAGCTCCAATTTTCTTCCCGGAAGATCAAATTTTCCACAACATTTCTATAAAAGTAACAAATTAGAAGAAAACGAATAGGAAAAAAAGAAAAAACGTTCGTTATTTTCATTTATATTTTTTATTTACATTTCAACGAATGATCCGTCGTCGTATTATAATATTTTCAACAAAACCTGCATTGTGTTGTTAAAAAAAAGTTTATTTTTTATTTTATTATACACAAATTTGCCTTACAAAATTCTTCTTCGTAAATGTTTCTTTTTCTTTTTGCTTCAATCCGGTGATACCAAATTCTTATATTATCTTAGTTCGTTATGTCGTTACTTGAGTTACTTTACTCGTGAAAAAGAACTGGCCATGAGAATAGCAGAATTTGCGCGCGCGCGCATACACACACACACACACATTTATGCGTAGAAATGGGGATGATGCAGTTGGCCTGGATAAAGGTCGGTGGCCGACCTAGCCCCCTAGCAAGTCCGGGACGGCTGGCCGGGGTGGCCAGCCCTGCTTCAACCACCCACTGCTATTGATTTTGTTAACCTTCTATGCTATATCTTCTCTTTTCCTCTCTTACCCTTTTATCCCTTCCGCCCCACAATGTGATAACGGATTGCCCGCTATTTTCAATGATACCATTTCTCTTTTTCTCCAACCCTTCTCTAACATCCCCCTTTTTTCTTCTTTCACCCTTCTTTTTTTTTCTTTCTCTCTTTCTCACTCTCTTTTTAGAACAAAAAAAAATTAAATTATTAAAAAGTTGGTTAACAAATTAAATCTACTAGTACGTTGTGTAAATTTTTCGTATCCAGGATGGTCAATATCTTTGATGATTTTTCTAAATCAATTAGTCTTTTATGAGATTTTTTTTACATTGGTTATCATAATTGTAGTTTTACTATCTACAGACAGTTTTATTTTTAATTCACTTTTTTCTATTTTCAATATCCAGTTTTATATCTAATTTATAAAACTAGATGAATAAATGTAGAAAAAATAATAATTGAACTTATTCTTTAGAAACATGATACCATTTTAAAAGCATTGCATTGTTTGTTTTCATATTTTTTCAATTGCATAAATGAATAATTGATTTTACGTAAGTGCGTTGTGTGCGTGTAGAATATAAATGATACAAATCATAACATTTAATATGATTTGTTTTGTTCGAACCAAAAAAAAAAAAAAGAAAGAATGGATCGTTAAGTTTTTCATTATTAATTGAAATTTTTCCTTCTCTGTTAATCTTCTTTTAATTTTCTCACGCACAACAGAAAATCCTTCGTAGAGCAAAACTTCTTCTCTTCACTTCCGTGGGTAGAAACATTGAATTCCGTCTTGAGTCGATTACAACGCTCTCCTCGTGGCTTTTCACTCGGCACAAACTACAATAGCGATGCAGAAGCAATCCCTGTACTATCTATTTTCTTATTATAATTTACGATCCGCGCTAGCATTCTTACGCCCACCTGGAGATTCGTTCGGAACGTTCATTAGCGCATACCTACACTTTCCGCTTCGAAAAAAGGATTCGATTTATTTCACCATGTGTAATACTCTGCTCCTAGATATTTATTCATCCAAAGATTTGGTTTTTTTTTTATCCTTTACAAATTAATATATCAACCTAGTTCTAATTAAGCAGTGATAATTATCCACGATCTTATCTAATAAAACATATTAATCAAAACAAGAAACATTAACAATTTTTAAGATATCAATCTATCCTAGTAGCATAAAATATTGAATACATATATATTTAATATTAATAAGACATTGAATCTCTTTTTAATATATATTTTATATTTTATTATTTTATATTATATTTTAATATTTATTATATAATACATTAATAAATATTAAATACACATGTATATATATATATATATATATATATATATATATATATTCAATATTTTGTGCTACTAGGGTAGTTGCAATCAAACAACCGTTTTAATTCACGATATAATTTGAAATCAATTACGATAAAATGAAAATGAAAATTAAAAGAAAAAGAGAAAAAAAAATCAATGTTTATTTTTGGTTGACGTTTGAATAATACGTGTCACTCTTAATCCTATTAAAAAGCTATAATAATCCACGATATAATTTATAATGTGTTAAAAAAAAAAATTAGAAGAAAAATATAAATGTTAACTTTGTTGTTGTAAATGTATGCATATTGACGCGTTAACACGTATATGCATATACGTAGGCAGATTACGCCTATCAATTTCTTTGATACGTTAGAACGAAAGGCTATCGTCGTAAAGAGGCGATTTATTTGTAGATTATAGAACCCTTACTTGACGCATTTATACTCGTGCTTTGCTTTCTTGCTTACTTGCTTACTTGTTAGCTTACTTGCACGAGCCTGCTGCTGATGGAATCGTAATGCCTTGTATCTGTGCCACTGTGCGAATTGAATTCCAATTACACGCTTGATTTACTTGTTATTCGGCCGAGAACTCGAATCGCATCCACGTCGTTTGGCGCCACTCCATACTCTTTGGCGACGATATACTCTTCTTCTCTTCTTTTCCATCACCACCTCCTCATCCTTCCCTTCTTCTTCTTCTTCTTCATCGTTTCTCAATTTATGTCTTATCAGATCGAAGAAAATATCGAGCAATTTTGGCAAATTAACATCTTATCACATTGCGTACTCAAGAGGTGAATTTTTCTAATCTCTGGGGACGGAAAAGAAACATTTTTTTAAAAATAATTTCTTTCGGTCAAAATTTCAAACATTATGAAAAATTGATTGTACAAACATTTTTTTATTTGAGTATCTTCAAAGTTAGTAATATGAGTTTGTATATAGGAATGATACGATCTCGTTGGAAACATCAATGTCATACAAATATGAATAAAGTTGACACGCGATGTTTCATAAATGTGATCATAATGTTGATTTTTTGTAGACAGGAAAGAAAATTAAAATTCAAAATAAAATAGAAAAATAATTCTCGTATGACTTCATACGAATATGCAGAATGTAAATTGTTAATATCGTATATTTTCATAAATCATATTTTTCATTTATTAGTTGATACCAAAAGAAGTGAACTTTTATTCTTCTATTACTCTTACTCTCGTTATTCGTTTACCAAGTGCACTCGGAGACATTCGGAGAGAATGAAAAAGAATAGCAGGAAAGAGAAAAAGGTCATTACCGGAGAACGGAGACATTTCGATCGGTCGAGTGGTTCGATAATCGAGCGGTCATGGCCGGCTGACCGGCCAACAGAACTTACAGAAGATAATCATACTGTTATTCAGACACCTTTTTTTTTCTTCTTCTTCTTCTTTTTTTTTCACGTTCAGACAAGAAATACTGATAACCCAAAATGTCTCCAGTCGCTTTAAATAATCAAAATCTATAAAGAATAATTTTAATATTCGTTGCACAAGAGTTATATTTATCGAGAATCGTCTTACTACTAATCAATTCAAAGTCGATTCAATTTTAAAAGATCAAACGAGAATTATTAATTCTATTTCGTTTATTTCTTTTTATTTTTGTTTTATTTAGTTTAGTTTGTTTTTTGTTCTATCAATTCACTATATAGATCTATATCAAATCAATTTTAAATTGCTTATCAATCAACCTCTCGACGGTTATTATACTTTCTAATGGGTCGCGAAAAATGACCGTTCTCGAAAGTGGGTCTTGGCCCATAAACTCATTGAAGTTTGGAAAGCCTTGCTCAATATATTCAACATTAATATTATCAAGATTTCAAACGTTTCGATTTATTCGATTTAATATATTGCGACAAATGTTAATCCTATGTAAATGAGAAAGTTAACGAAAAATGGGGAAAAAATGGAGTTGAATTAAATAATATTATTTCGTTATCATCACCGTTATTATTGTTTTAATATAATATCAAGAAAGATAAGATAAAAGACTAAGGAATGAGATATTTTTTTTTAATTTCAAATTTCTTTCAATAGAAAGAGATACAAGTTAACTCGAGCCAATGGAAACGAGCATGAAACTGGGGCATGTGACGAAGATACGCGATAATAGAGGAAACAGGACTATGACCTACTTCGAGGAATTCCAGCAAAAGTAACCAAAGATTTGCCTCTCGAAAACCATCCCTTTCCCAAATACCCCCACTCCACCCCACCATTTGGTTGGCTGCGTGAAAAATCCTAGCCTAATTCTAGCTTTTCGACTATTTGCTTTTTAAAATATTTCATTGTGTTTGATAGTAAATGACGTATCATCCACTCTTTACTCTATATGACCCAATTTTTTTTCTAAAAAAAAAAAAAAATAAAATCCATTGTATATCATGAAAGTTCTAGGTTTGGTTTCCCTAAAAGGTTTTAAGCGATTTTATTCTTTTTCCCAGACTATTTTTGTTTCATTTTGTTTCTTTAGTAAAAATGTTCTCAATGTTGTAGTTGTAAAATTTGAAAAAAAAAAGAAAAAAAGAAAGAAAAACAAAATTAGGCTAAAAGGTTTCGGAAAAGTGTAATGGATTTTTAATATCTCCTTGAAACTTTTGATCCATCTTGTTCCATATTAATTATGCTATATTTACTAATGTAAAAGTATAACTTATATTTTAAAAATATGAATAACTTTGTATATCAAATTTATATAGTTACAAAATGAAAGAGCATTTGACTAATACAGATATTTAAATATATGTTAATTTAAAATGTCACGATTTTAAAGAGAGATTTAATGTTTTGAAAATAAAATATAAAAATTGATTCGAGCTATTTGGTAACATGATCGATCGATTCAACGATTTTATTATCGGTGAATGATATGAACGATTTCATTGATTTCTGTCTGCTGGCTGTCATCGTTCACGTCCGACTCGAACTACTTTTTCTTTTATTTAAACATCGAAACAATAAAGAATATTCGAAAAGGAACGCGAGTTACTTTACAACCGTCAAAGATTTTCACTATTTCAGCATCGGAACAGGTATATAACATAGAATATATAGTATGCGCAATAAACGAGGAGGTAGCTGTAAATTTCCGATCACTGCGTGTCCATTGTTTCCATCACAATGAGCTATCACTCTCGTCTTTACTTGGAACGTTTCACCTGTACAAGTTAGGTTTCATAGACATGGATATAGTCGAAGGACTTTCATGTGTGCGCCCACGATTACGATTAAAAGATAGACAATAAGTATCATGCGTATGACTTTTGACACACTTTTGTGAACGTGATTCTTTATTTTCATTCGTTTAATAAATTTTCACATGTTCTTTATGTCAAACAAAATTATTCGATATTTTTCATTCATTTTCGAAACGACGATAAAACCGATCCTGTTCACTTTTATCGAACATTTGTACGTTTATATGAATATATTGGAATGTCTGGAAAATTTGTGTGCCGATTTGTGAATATATATATATATCGAGATTTTGTAAAAATGATCCTTTAAATTTTCTTGACAATATATATTATGATAAAAGGGTTTATACAAGGAAATGTCAATTTAAATAGAAATAAAAAAAAAAAGAAAAATATATCGTTAACACGTGTTACGCGTCAAGTTCTCACATCAGTTGTATTTGAAAGTTTGTTCAATTCGTTGTAGGGAAAAAAATCTACGACGCATCTCCGTTCGTTACATTGCCAATGTCACCGAACAATAAACGTCTTTCCACTCAGAGATGCCTTCTCCTTTGCGATCATCGTTAACATCGTTACACTGAGAACTGCTTGCACCACACTCGTTTAACCTTATGAGCACAAGTGAGCAGCCACTCATTTTCCACTTAGAACGTCTTGCGTTGTCGTCGTCGTCGTCGTTAGACTACGAACGAACGCGCGGTATGACCCAGATGCAGTCGAACAAGGTCTCGAATTTTTTATATTTATCGAACATGGCACTCACTATGCCTTCGTTACTTACCTGCTTGCTTAGCTTACCTATCTACCTACCAACCTACCTACCTACCTATTTCTACCTACCTTCTTCTTCTTCTTTACTTGCCTATTGCTTAGCCAGCTTCTTTGCTGTTGAAAATGTTACTGTTATTGTTATTGCTGTTGTTGCTGCAAGTAGGCTTTGACATTTAAAACTCTTATGTTAGCTTTAAACTCGTACAACTAGTACTTTAGATATTACCATTAATATTTGTCTATGTTCTATATAATTGTAATATTATGTTACTTTATGGCAACATTATGGTTTTATCATTTGACTCGTATGTCAAGCTTTCAATACCTACCGTAAAAAACATTTTGTAACCCTAGCATTTGGATCACGATATTTCCATAAGATCTCATTACCGATGTCTCATTCAACTTATATAGTCCCGAATACAAAACTCTTCGTTGTGTTTCTCTCCACGAGAGAAGCAAACAAACTCCGATAACGCACGAGATATGTTTATTCGCGATAAACTCTTCAAACAACACGGATGAACAAAGCCTCGTTACATCGAGCTTAAACCAACGATCTATTTTATTCAGCAAAACGGAACTTAACAAATGTGTGAATTTATTTTATTGTATTTTTTTTTACCATGTTGTCAATTTGTTTTTTATGCGAGCTTGATTTTCATTCATTTGTAGTAAAGTAATTAACACGAGCTCGTTACTCTCTGTGACCATTACGAGTATCGTGACTACAGTTGACATGAATAGTGATTACTGATTAAAAAAAGATAAAGTGCTTGTGGAAAGAGAAGCGTGTGTACTCATCGATGTCACTCGTTTTGCGTGCTAGATTCGCATTATATTGTTATTCCGGCGTAGTCTATCTTAAACTCTGCCAGGTACACTATGTTTTACTATTAGAAGCAGCGTCAAACGTTAGGAATGCTAGCTATTGCTGGAGATAGTCCAAGGAGTTGTTCTACGATCCTAGAACAAAAGATATTTTGTCAGAGAAATGATTGATTAGAGAACAAACGTGAACTAAATTTAGTTATTCGTATACATTTAGATATATAAATAAAAGCAAGAAAAATTATAAAATATGATAAATGTTTGAAACTCTTGAAGTAATATTAAACGTTCATTTCTACGGTAAAACTATGTATAAAGTCGCATATATATATATATTGAGAAGAATGGAGATCTCGGTTTTTGCCATAAAATAAACAAGGGATAGAGAGAGAGAGTAATAGTAGTAGTACGTTGAAAGTAAAGAAAATTGCTTTAGGAAGAGAGTAGGTATGGTTTTCCGGGAAAGGAACGAACCATGTAAGTATAAGCATCGGTTCGAGTAATGCGGTTGGGCCTCGTGAAGTAAAAGGGGAAAAAGTGGGCATATGATGAGGTAGGGGTGAGCTGGGGTGGGAGGAAACTTCACAATAGCTCGATTCTGGAATGAGGAAGTCTCTTCGTACGACACACCGCGGTACAGCACACCACGGGACAACACCACCACGGGACGACACCGCGAGAATACTAAAGTGTGGGTTACTAGTTGGATATCTTGCCTATTCCAAGCTCTCCCATATACCTACGACCAAAGAGAAGAGAGCTTCTAGGGATTGTAGTATTTTTGTCCTTCTGGGTGACTTTATATTGACTCCACTCGTGTTTCTCTTCTCACCATGCGTTTACTTACTCTACTCCTTCGCTCTCTTTTTCATCTTTCTCATTCTTGGAAAATTTTCTTTTTTCTATTTATTTTTTCCATCCTATATTTAAACCTTTAATCTCTCTCTCTCTCTCTCTCGACTAAAATTCAAATCGATATATCGTATATTATCGTATAATAGGACACACGAATTACTTTTTCTTTTCCATTTTCGAACGTTGAATTATACTTTCGTACAATATCCTGTAACTTTTCTAGGTGGATCTATCGGTGGTAAGCTGTTTATAGACAAACGTCCGGGACACGATTTCATGTGGAATCCTATACAATGTCTCGTTTCACCACGACGACGACTACGACGACGACTACGACGACGACGACGAGTTACGATATTCCCCTATGAATACAAAGTAGCTCCGATCAATTATCATCGTTCCGTTTATTTTCGTGGCACTTACCGGACTAACCGTAAGAACAGGGGCCTGAAAAGAAGCCGTCCTCGTACGTTCACCTTCGACTGATTTGCATTCTAAAGAAGATTCGAAGGTGATGCCAACCGATTTGCGCCATCGCGCGAGAGCGTACGCGTTTCTTTGAAAGAATATATTACGGTCTTGCGTAGACCAACAAAATAAAAGAAAAAAGAAAGGAAAAAGAAAAAAAAAGGAAGAAAGAATACTTAATGTCGAAATCTTTGGTCATTGTCGATTCTTATCGATGTTTACCGATCTTTGCCGATTTTTAATACCATCGAACTACGTTGTAATAGTTCTTTTCTATTTTTAATTCTTTCTAATTTATTTATCTTAAATAAACTATTACCTATAGTTACGTAACATAATTCAAAGTTCGAAATATTAAAGTAAAGAATAAGAGAAGATGAGTCAAGGTATAATACGTTTTATCTTCTTCAAGGTAATACATGTTCAGGTCATTAACATCATATTGTTTTGTACGTTCGAAAGCTTGGATACCTCGAAATTCAACAGTGACAGTGTTATATCTATCATTTTATCTCGTCGAGTATGCATGTAGATATGACAGAGACAGCAGGTGCAGTAATTACGCTACGGACGGTTGCCAACTAATGTTATTTTGCATAGACAAGCATATTTTATTTGTTGAACATTGTTGAAAACAATTTTCACGACTAGTGCTAATGTGCTATACTGTCTTTCTTTCTTTCTTTGCCAGCTATACTATTTCGATATTTATAGTTCTTAAATTTATCTTACGTAAAAATCGAAATTATTTTTCATCGAAAATGACAATACATTTATTTTCTTGTTCTCGTTCTTAATAATATCGTAAACATATACATTCTTTCATTTTGCATGTCTTTATTTTTTTTTATACGCCATTTTGTGCATGCTTCAGAAATTTATTTTTCGATCAAATGTCATTTTCAGTTTTGTCAATGTGTCGTATATTTATATTTATATAAATACTTAAATGTATATAGATAGATATATACATATATAAATTCAAGTAGACAGAAAAAAAAAAGAAAGAAAACGAGATGACCGAGAAAGAAATCGGATCTCACCCTAGGACTACGTGTCACCTTAACCGAGGTCGAATTGTTAAACAGTTTATATCAATCGTCGTTGATTGACTCGAAACATCGAAGTACTTGCGGCACGAAGACGACTGAGTTTTGACCTAGGCGAAGCTTCAGTCGGGCAGGCCAAACAGGTGAATCAGAGTTTTAAGAGATTCGCCCTTGGCCCTCGGCGAGTGGTTCGTTATGTTCGTTAAATCGATTGTGTTTCAATCTGGCCGGTAAATACAGTTGAACTGACTGGGCGATTGCACGCACTATGTCGAGTTGTGGTAAGCAGGCATACATATACAGACTAACAACATACATATACATACAGAAAACACAAGCGCATTTCATTCCGTATGTTCTCTCGTCGTCGATGACCTACATGCCCATCCAAAATAATCCGGCACCAAGCAACGAGACCTTAACCGCGACCCGAGTCTGCCCTGCTATAGTCCAGGGACCTCCAGAAGGCTTTTGCGAATGACTCTTGAGAGCCAAAACGAATGGTAAACAAGTGCAAGTGGTATAAACACGGACACGAAGAATACTCACCGGTATAAAACATTGATTACTCAAGGGAAGATTTTGTCTGGAGACAAGTTGCTAAGACGTATCAATCATGTGTTCTCTGTTTTAATATCAATTAAATGATATATCACGTATACATATTATAATTGAAGACAGCTGGAAAATAGCAGGAATGTTGAAATCTGTTAAGAAGAATTTAACCATTTAACGGAGTCGATGATTATATCCAATAAAAAAAAAAAAAGATAGAAAACAATAGCATGTAGTTGATGTAAATTTCCATACATGATTCCCACGTATTCTATTATTCAAAGATATATATATATATCTATTCCAATATCTAAAGTCGATGAACCAGATAGATATCCTAGATACCTCGTAACTTTTCAAGCTAGAACACATGACATCGTGAGCTCGGGAGTACTCGATTATCCAAGTGTAAAAAAAGGGAGGGAAAAGCATGAGGTATAATAAATCACGTGGAATATATACGAACAGTAATAGAGAACTGTTAAAGGTGAAAAGTCATTTTTGCTTAGAAAAGTAACGTTAATAGGTGCGGAATGTTTGATCGTTTGCTATAAAAACAAAAGGGATTTTTAATCGAGTTAAATTGTTTTTGTCTTCGTCGTTGTCGTTGTCATTTGCAATGACATTGCAAAGCGTTCGCTTTTCATAAACGGATGTGCGCGGCGTGGCACGTCGAGACTGCGACGCAGAGACAGGCGCGTTCGGCTGATTCGGTGCTGCGATACACGAGTATCGATTCCTCGAAGTTTGGCAGTGCCGAGCAAAGGAGAAATATCGACGAGGGGTGTGGCCGTGGTGAGGAGTGCGTACAACACATACACCTACACCACACAACATATTCCCACAGAAATACATAGGGAGAAACATATATATTGGCTTACACACACACACACAGATGCATCGATTACAGACACATAACATTTACACATACACATCCAAACACACAAGTAATATATATATGTAGACTCTGGTTTACACAGATACACATACACACATCAATCGGTAGTTTAATCTCAGCGAGGACACGGGCGTGCGGCGCGCCGGAAGAGGGCATGGCCCAAAGTCTTCTTCTCTCGACTTTACCATCAGGATTCGTTCTCGAGACGATCCCATTCTCTCTCTCTCTTTCTTTCTTTTTTTTTTACTCCTTTTTCTTTTCTTTTCGACGTCTTCCTTTTTCACAAGAACCCTCCTCGTTCCAACGTATCGCGATAGACTCCCAAAGCGTTCGAATTGCTCCGTTTACAAGATGAAAAAGCATTCAACGTTATTTAACGCGTTTACATAAATCTGTTCTATGTTTTTCTCATTGTATTCTTTCCCCCACTGATATAAGAATAAACTCATTTTTTTTTTTTTTTTTTTATAGGAGCATTTACTTTCTCCTTTATGATTTATGACGATATCGTATTGAACATGTCAGGACTATGAAACTTTTTATTTATCTTTAATGTTATTTTTTTTTTTCGTTTGAATAATATCGGTAAAATTTATATTTGAGAATTCGTATCTTTTATTTTTGTTTGGATTTTTCGTTAACAGAAATACGTTTTTTTATGAAATAATAAATAGATACATATATATCATTAGAATATATTATATATACAATTAGAAATATAATTCATTGTTATATGTGATTATCTTGAATATGTTTTTTTTGGATAATTAACATAAATAACATATATTATTTTTTTGTAATAATGGATACACACTAGAAACAATAATTGACTTTTGTTGAAAGATTTTTATTTAAATTTCTTTTACTATATTTTATTTTTATATTTGCTAGAAAAAAAAAAATAATGGGGTTTCTACGATAATAGATACATATGTACTTCTTGAAAAAGAATTCAATTCTGTGGTTTATTGGAGAAAAGCAAATATACGATAGCAACGTTAGTACCCTTTACTTCAACCATATATTCTCTTTCGTTGAGGGCAGTTTAGACTAAGCAGGCTTAGATCCTGCCCGTTGTTGGAGGAACTTCGTCGTTGTAGCTTCCGAGAGGAAGAGAAGATGGGGAGAGAGATATAAAGGGTGAGAAAGGGACGGAAGAGTCTGGGAGTATTCGATGTGACGCATGTATATGAACACAAGCATAAAACACACGCGAAATGATGAGGATGCGGGGGTGGGGACGAGGTGGGACGTTGTAGAGGGCAAAGAAGGGATACACAGAGAGGGAGAGTACTACACACATCTTTCTCTCTCTTTTTCTCTTTATTTTGCATTCACTCTCACTCTCTGTCTATATATATATATATATATATATATATATAAAAAAGAGAGAAAGAGTCCGATCTGCGTCGGAATTAATGCTGCGAATCCGATGGATCGAGTTACCCGTAGCTCGTTTTGAGTTTTTTACATCTCGAATTTAATCCAAGGAATGGGGGAAAAAAATAGGGGACGTAGTCAAAGAGACAAGGTCACGAACGACTCCCCTTTTGCAAACCTTCCTTCCGTTTCAAAGTTTTGTCAAGAGAAATTGATGGGATGCGTTTAGTAGTTACGTGGAACAAGGAATATTACGTCAACGAATATCACATTATTCAGGTAAAATATTCGATAATAGATATATTAAGATACATGAAATATAAATTTCATATATATTTATTATATTAAATTATTTTTTTGTTTTTATCGATATACTCGATCTTATCTAATGTATATATTCATCGATAACCATGACAATAGGTTAAGTAGAAAAATTAGTAAAACATTATGATCGTATGATTTATATATTATAATATAATTATCTATTTTTTTACACTAAACCTTACCCAACACTTCATGTTTATTTATTTCAATCATGAACGGTCAAATGACCGCTTTAAAAAAATAGAAAACCTTTATCTTAAATATGAAATAAGTTTTAAGTCAATTGTATAGTGAACGATATATTTCTTTTTATTTAAAAATGAATAATGTACATTTTATGCATTTTTATCAGAATTTTTTACAAATCACAGGAGACGGTCATTTGACCTATTACGTGTTGTAGGCTTAATACGTACACGTATCCTTTTTCTTTTCTTTAAATAAAATCATCCAATCGTCCTATCTTGTTTCAATTTCTTTTTATCTTCTTCATGATTTTCGATGCGTTTCTTTCTTCATTCGGGATAGAAGAAAAAAAAAAAAGATTTGATTCTCTTTGTAAAGCTCATCGAAGCAGAAAAGCGCACATGCGTGGCCTATCTCGTACGAAAATCGGCGACCTCGATGGACTTCGGTCAAAGCGGACGATCGTCGCTCGCATTAATCGCTCTCGTCCGCTCGTTCTACGAGTCTCTTTCCTGCACTCGTGTGCGTTCATATACGACGCGTATATCTGAATTCTGTCTGCCGGTTGGTTGGCTGCTGCCTGGTTGGTTGGTTGGTTACTTGCTTGCTTGCTTTGCCGATCGTTCGCTCTCATCAATAATTCAGCGAGCTCGAAGCGAGAAACTCAAAAATAAGGTGAAAAGATACGACCCCTAGCTCCTCCCTTCACCCCTCTACCCCCTCTACCACTCTCTGTCTGTCTCTCTTTATTTCTCTCTTTTTCTGTTCGTATTTTACAAATCGGCACACACAACACAATGAGTTACCTAACACTCGTATTCGCATACGATTGCATTTTGATCGGCACACTTGGTAATCGATAACAACCAATGCGTATGCATCCTGCGTATGTATGTATGTATTCTTACTCGTATCAACGATCTTCCTATTCTTCTTATTCCCTCTTTTATTCCTCTTCTCCCGACGTCTTTTGTCATAGCTTCTCGTCTCGCGGCTATTGCGAAACGAGGTCATTCCGGCTCGACCGGATCGTTCGAATCCGACGTATTTCGTCCGATTCGAAACGACTGACAAGTATCTTCGTCTCTCTTTATCTATATATTTCTCTTTTTCTTTCATACTCTCTTTATCGGATTTTTTGAAAGAGACAGATGAGAAGAAGAAGAAGACATGCACCCTATGTGCATCGTCTCGTCGTTAGGAGATACGAAATCTCGTTTTCTCGAATACACACGAATACTCACCCTTTCGTTATGTTCGTATTATTCTTTTATGATTTTTTTTTAAGTGAAAACTTCTTTAAAATAAGGAG